TAAAAGCAGCCCTAGACAATATGTAAACAAGGGGCCTGGACATGGCAGTCCTCAGGTAAAACTTTATTTACAAAAACAGGCTGTGGGCTAGACTGGCCTGGCTCTAGTTCACTGACCCTTGCTCTGTCTTGGAGGCCTATGCCTCAGGCTTCCAGAATGAGGCACAGGCAGTGGTATGCCAGTAAATGTTTAACCCCCTAAATCGACAAGCATGACGTCACAGAACCTTGTGATCTGGCTCTGACCAGCTCCAGCCTGGTCCTGCCAGGAACACACAGGGTGTTCTTGAATTTGGGGCCTTTCTCTATGGATTAAATTCCTTCTGCACAAGCGAAAAGGCTCTGACATTGCTTCTGAAACAGAGCATCTCTTGGGCCTACAGGCCCAGCACAAATGTAGAGAGAGAGCACCACACATGGGCAGCTGACCCTGACATTGAGGAAACGCAGCCGTTAAGAAGAGTAAGCCCTAAATCAGCTTGCTCTGTCTCTCATGCCAAGCAGACAGCCCTCTGTGAATCACTCCACACTCCAGATCCGATTTTTACTAACACTTCACATTTCCCAATGCTCTTCATAGCTTCAAAAAATCCTACAGGATTTTTTCTAACTTCAATTTTACAACTTTTTTTTTATTTTATTTTATTTTTTAGCTGAGCCATCCTGCCACCTTTTGGCAGCTCAGCGGCAACTCAGCTCTGGCTGGACTCGACCCGCTGTTGCTCAGAGCTTAAACCCTTGAGCAAGCTCTTAACCAACTGAGCCACTCGGCCGGCCCTTAACTTCAATTTTAGATCCTTTTCCACGAAGCTACTTCTAAGACATAAAAATTCTTATATGGGGATGCTCCCCAAAGCCTGCTTATTATGTAATAAACTAATTTTCCAAACTGGTTTCAAACTTTTCTTAAACATAATTCTAACATTTAAAAGAAAAATGTAATCTGGAACCCCAGTATCTAAAGACAGATTAAAGAGGAAGCTGTAAGTGGGTTCTTCAAGCAGTTTAAATCAGGTGGGAAACACCGCTACACAGTGAGCTCCACCGTGGGTCCCTAGGTTCCTTGGAGGTGGTGTTTGAAGACCAGTGTCTTACAGGAGCATTATTGTGCCTGGAAAATAAATAGAATCACAGAGGCTGAGCAGACACTGCTACAGGCATAAGACCACAGGTTCGTTCTAATAGCTTCTAACAGCTACCCCAACTTGGTTCCGGTAGCCACCGTACCACCAACTAAGTACAGGAGACAATCAAGGTCACAGAGAGGAAATGAGCCCTGTTGCGTCTGTCACTGCAATCCTGGAGCCAGGGTAGGGTTTGGTTTGGTGCAGACTCACTGCCATGCTTGAAAAAGCACCACTGGCTCCCGTAGGGAGCTGCTTCGCTTGCTCTATTTTTAAATGTTTAAAACATTATAAAGAGGTAACTTTACACAAGCAGAGAACCCAATGAACATGAAATTCTAGCCATCCATCCGGCCAAATTCATTTCTGAACTTTGCAACAGCAGCAGTCAGGATCATCTATTATGTTGTGTTCTTCCTTCTCTCCACTTGCCACTGTGTAGCCCACATACTTTCACTTCAAAAACTACTACAGGGTATTATTTCCTTCCGTTAACATACTACAGCTCCATTACTCCTTCGATTCTCTGCTGAGGCCATAAAGATAAAGTCTCAAATGTGTCACAGAAAGTCCCACAGTGTGTTAACAGCCTTTAGAACAACGGTTCTCAACCTTTCACAGGGGTCGCCTAAGACCATCAGAAAACACATATTTTCAATGGTCTTAGGAACCGAGACACCGCTCCTCTATCCGTCTCCAGGCCCACATGCGGATACACCCACATACGAGTACCCGGCGACCCCTGTGAAAGGGTCGTTCGACCCCAAAGGGGTCGCAACCCACAGGTTGAGAACCGCTGCTTTAGAAGAAGGCTGTGAGGGGCCGGGAGACAAAGCGGACAAGGGCATGTGTGGTCGCACTAGATGGCACCGCTGCGGCCCCGCCTCATCCAGCACACCACGTTTAGTCGAATGGTCTGATAGGTCAGCATCCATCGCTTAACTAACCTCTTCAACCCAGAGTTCATCAGCCCCTACCCATCCTCCACCTGTCACTCTTTCAGAGTGCCTTGTAATCTCTCCAGCTCAGTGTTCTCGGAAACTGTCGTGTTTCCTTGTTCACTTGTTTACGTACTTACTTACACTAAAGTGTAAGCTCGGAGAGAGCAGGGGTCTGGGTGCCTTTCGGTCATCTCTGGGCCCTATCTCAATGCCTGGTACCCACCCAGTCCCTGCTTGATAAATGTTTCTGAAAGAACGTACTACTTTTAAAAACTCAGAATGCTTTTCACCTACCCTGAAATTATAATGCACAGTTAGAAGCTGTAAAATGCTTTAAAGAATGCCACCCATCCTAGTTATGACAGGAAGCACTCCCCTTTCTCTTCAGTCCTTTTGATTTCAAAATTTACTGTTGAAGGGAAAAAAAATCTGTCCAGGGAACATGATCTGGGAAGCCCATTAAGCCTTATTTAGAGTTTCATTTTATATCTGTAAACAGAAAGACCAAGGCTTATGGCTTTTGTGAGTTAATAAGTCTAACACTGCAATAAACAAACCTGCTTTTTCAATTTGTGTCCTTAAATTAGATTTAACTTTGCTTTAAAGTGGGTTTACTGCTGGTAAGGGAAGCTGCCTGGCAGCCCAGGAGCGGGAAGGCAGCTCCGAGACAGATAGCATTTCCAGAAAGTATTTTGTTTAGGGGCGTCTATAATGGTCCAGTATGTCTCATCTGTTCATTCTCCTGAGAAAAGATAAAAGAACAGTCAGCTGTATAATTGTCACATAAACGTTGCCAACATTTGTATTTTGATCCTAGCACTTCTCATTTTCGCTCTCACCTTACTGCTCCTTACTCTCAAAGGGCTGCAATCTTAACAGTATTTTTTTCTTAACTGAAGGAAATGAAAAGTTACTTCATTTGCTGTCACAAAGCCAGCCTGATAAAATCCTTAGGCCAGGGGCTATGACAGCAAATGAGGCATCGGAGACCCTCAGCTCTTCCTCAAGGGCTCTTTGTAACCTTGCTCGAGTCAGTCCTTAGAGCTCCCATCTGTATGTTGACTGTTTACATGTGGTTATGACCAGTTATAACCAGAACTGCAGCAACACGCATCACAGGACCTTCTCAAACTGCCATCAGAATCATCACACTGGACGTGTACATGGAGAGCGATACTGAGCGTCAAATGTGAGGGCTCAGTCATCGTGTGTGTTCTCTCAGGTGAATGCTAAGCTTTCCTCCTCCTCCTATGGAGACACTACTCTAGTTAGTGCCATTCATGTATTAAGGCAGCTGGCTCTAAAAGGTTGAACTTGGGAGACCATGCTGGGTCCACCATGAAATACGGCAGTTTGCCTTCCTAGCTTATAAGACTGTGCACTAAACTGCGATACAATCCAATACGTAATTCCGCAATTAGGAAACAACAGTCCACCTTCTTTCTTCATTTCGTTAACAGGAGATACATGGCCTTTGCTGAAAAAAGGACTTTTACTGTTGGCAAGAAAGTAAGCATGGGTTACCTCCTAGGATAAGCTCAGAAGGGGCTTCTGCTTTCCTCAGAGACACATTCCACCACGGAGGGCCTTGCCAAGTCTGCCCAAGGGCTCGCTCTCTCCTGAATGGGTTTCCATGGCCTTAGTTCTTCCAATGACCCTGTCGTGTCACACCAGTGGCTGCTATTCTAGAATACCTGGACATCCAGAAAAGACATTCTCCAGAAAGTACTGGGTATTGAGGAAAATGTGGTGAGTGAAACAGACAAGCCCTCTTGGAGCTTACAGCTCAGTAGAAAGCCTAAGAAAAAGTAAACCGGCAAGTGTAGACTCCTATGGTGATAAATGCCATGGAAGGACAGAACAGGGTGCCACGAGGGGAATGGGGTGGCTGAGATGTGGTCAGAAGGCCCCCTAAGAAGGGGCCGTGCAAACTGAAGGAAGAGAAGACACTTGTTATTGGAGGGGGCATCCTAAGCCCAGTCAGTTTCTATCATACCACATGTTTCATGAAAAATCCAATCCTCCCTTCCCCTCTCTTCTTAATGGCTATTTCTTCCAATAGCCTTCCCTACAGAAGCAAGCGAAATGAGCTTTTATAAATAAACTCACTGTAGACTTCAGTGTAAGACCTAAAACTATAAAACTCTTAGAGAAGACAAAGGCACAGATCTAGACCTTGAGTCAGGCAATGTCTTCCTAGATTTGATACCAAAAGCACAAGCCAAAAAAGAAAAAAATAAACTGGATTTTTATCAAAATTAAAACTTTTGTGCTTCAAAGGACACCATCAAGAAAGTGAAAAGTGGGCTGGTCAAGTGGTGTGTTAAGAGCTGGCTTGTGTCTGAGCAGCAGGGCCCCGGTTCGGTTCCCACATGAGGGCCAGTGACACTGCCCTCTATAGCTAAGATGCTGAACAACAGCTCAACCTGGAGCTGGGATGCTGTGAGTCACCAGCAACAGCGTAGACTGCAGCCCCTGCTGCAGTGGGTTGCCATAAGCTACTGTGTGTAACCGGCAGCCAGCGTGAGCAGCCAGCAGAACGCCGTGAGTGGTCATCCAGAAGCCGGCGACTGATCTGCCTCGCCCGGGAAGAGCACAATGATGGTGCCAACTTGGGCCAGTGAAGCAACGTCCTCCGCAACTAGACTGAAGAACAAAAGGACAGCAACTTGTCTGTTCCCCTTCCCCTGATTCCCCAGCGCTGTTCCCCTCCCTTAATTTCCCAATAAAATCTTTAAAAAAAAGAAAGTGAAAAGACAACCCACAGAATGAGAGAATATTTTTGCAAATCATATATTTGATAAGGGACTTGTATCTAAAATATATAAAGAACTACTAGAACTCAGTAATAAAGACAAATCAAACCAATTTAAAAATGAGCAAAAGATCTGACATTTCTCCAAAGATATACAAATGGCCAATAAGCACATGAAAAGATGTATACAACATGTTATTAGGGAAATGAAAATCAAAACCACAATGAGATATTCCTTCACACCCAAAAGAATGGTGGAAATACGGAAGACAATAACAAGTCTCGGCAAGGATGAAAAAAACTGGAACCCTCAGACACTCCTAGGGAGAATGTAAAATGGTATAGTAACTCCACTCCTAGATACAGACCCAAGAGAAGTGAAAACATACACCCACACAAAAATGTGTACACAAATGTGTTCATAGCAGTATACGTAATATTGTTTCCAGAAAGTGAAAACAACCCAAATGTCCATTAGTTGGCGAATGAATAAATGAATGTGGTCTATCTATACAACTGAAAATATTTGGTGATAAAAAAATGAAGTTCCGATACGTTCACATATGCCAAGTGAAAAGCGGCCAGTCACAAAGGTCACATATTGTATGTGATTCCATTTATATGCAAGTCCAGAACAGGCAAATCTACGGGGACAGAAAGATTAGGGCTGGGGGCAGGGGGGAGATGGAAGTGACAGCTAAAGGGTGCGGGCTTCTTTTGGGGATGATGACGATGTTCTATGACTGACTGTGGTGACAGTACAACTCTGGAAATATACTGAAACCCTTGAACTGCACCCTTTAAAAAATGGGTGAATTGTATGGTGTATGGGTTATTTCTCGAAAATGTTATTACAAACAATCCTAGAGTCAAGCTGGGGAAGGCTGAGCAAAGGGTACTATTCTATGCAGGAAACCACCCGGTATCCTGAGAGCTGAGCCGACGCCGGGCTGCTGTCATTGGCTGGCTGGTTCCCCCAATGCCCGTGGGCTTCCTGAGCTCAGCCTGGCATCTGTTTCCATCCAAGATGGGCAAGATCAGTTGGTCTACGGTACACAGTTCCGGGTGGTTCAAGGTTGCAGGGAAGCTACATGCAGACCAAGAAGCTTAAACTTCATTTTTAGTACCACTTCATAAGTTTAGATGATCTTTAAATTTCATACCGTGACATACATACAAAATACCATCATTTGCACATAAATGGGTGTCTTTTCATTTTTTAAACAATTTGCATCCAGTGTAATTGCTTTCTCTTTGCTGTCAGGCACCTGTACAAACATTCCCATGTAAGAGGCACAGACTTCCAGGGAACGTGTGAGGTCTCCAGAGCACTGTCCCCTGTCTGCAAGGCAGGCTCAGGTCCCCTGCTCCAGCTGCACACTGCATGCAGGGCCTGTTCTGTCTGCAGTTCGCTGGTTCCACAGCTCCAGGGCCAGACAAACCTCACTCCCTAATCCTGATGAGTCATAGAGCTAGAGAGCAGAGAAAGGGGTACAGGAAAGGCACTGGAGGGAAGCAGGCAACCTGGAAAGACATCTGAGCATTCTGGCAAAAGTGAGCCTGTTTTAGGGCATTCAGGGCACGTTACATAGAAGTACGGCCCAGTTTACAGTTTGAAAGAAAACAGCAGTGTTTGCAGATAACTTCACAGACATGAAAGTGTGCTGTCTTGGCATGGATCTTAGCATGGAAATCTAATATGAAAATATGTAAACTATCAGTGTAGGTATTAAAAAAGCCAGAAGCACCAATAAAACACCACGTGTTGATTTCGGGACCTTTAAAGACAAAATGAAAAACCTGATACGTAGCTGGGTTGCAGGCTCTACAGAAAAAAGAGCACCTGGGCAATGCGATTTATACCCAGCAAATGTGCACATCTCCGCACCGAGCAAGTCTGTACAGACCGCGGGGACACACACACAAAGAGCGGACACTGACCCTCAGAGCCTCTGTCCACTAGGACCTGCTGCCGAGTGCAGTGGCAGCGGCACACACAAAGGACAGTAAGTGACCAGGCACTTTTCTAACAAAGTCAGGCTGAACCTGTAGCCAAAAGCCCGCATACTAAATGATCTTTTCCTTTTATTTACAAATACTAAATAGCTATTTAAACGGTTCTTAAAAAGATAAATCAGGCAGATTTTGCCATCAGTGGCTCATTTTTTTTCTTTACCTTCATTATTTAACAAACATCTGACCAGCCCCAATGTGCTGTTAACAATTCAAGGTCCCAGGCCTCAGGAACAGGAGACAAATATTGATCTAAAGGGTGAAAGTGTGGGTTTTTTGTTGTTGTTTTGTTATTTTTTGTCAGTTAAGACCAGTTTTTGAAAAAACACCCCTTCATCACAGTATAGCAAGGGAGACTTTATTTGTTGCAAGGTTTCCACAGAAAGGTTCCAGGAGCACTGAACTGAGTAACAGAAATAAACCCCCAAGAAATAAAACCCCAAGGAAGAAATACTTAGAGATATCTTCCTGGTTTTGAAGGAAATGTTCTTGAAACATTGTTTCATAAACCAAATATAACAAAGAAAAAAAATACACAAATACAACTAAAGAATTACTATAAAAGCTCTGTTCTTTCCCACATCACTAAAGGTACATGGTTTAAAACAGACAGTTAAGTCCAAAGCAACTAAAGAAAAATACCTCAATCCCTTTTTTCAATCCACACCCCAGCCAGCTCTCAAACTCTAGGAAAGGAATTACAATGCTGTGTCAAAGGGAAAGCTGTGCCCCTCACAAGCATTGTCGTGGCTTTTTAAAAAATGATATTAAGTCACACTGTTTATACCTCACATCCTAAAGTTCATATTCGTCAGTATTTGACCTCTGCTTTGCAAGCTGAGTCTGACCATGTCAGGAGGCCAACGAGCCAGACCCCTTGTCCTCGTGAAGAAATTGTGACAAGCAGCTCAATGCTGGATGTGGCAGGCGCCAAACTGCCTTTCTGGAAGCTCTCACTCCATGTGGCCCCTGGCATTTTACCCTGGAGAACCACCAGTCTGATCCCCCACAATGGTCCCTTTTTTATGTTCAATCTGAAAACATGCCTCCTGGGCTCCAGGCTGGTGGCTCCTGACAACAAAGGATGATGACCTGGGGGAGACCAGGAATATGCATGCACCCAGGGTGGCCTCCAGGGCCCAGGAGGAGGGAGAGGCAGCGGCCACTGGGGCAGCACTGAGACAGGGCAGTAGTCTGGCACTGCTCCTCTGCTTGGGCCTCCTGTCCCGTCGCCCCTGCAGGCTACCCTCGAACACCGCTACTACGGACCTGACGTCAGCAAGGTCCATTTCTGCCTCTATGCTACTTAGATTCCGCGTCAAGGCGGACCAAGGAGGAAGGAGGCACCAAGTTCAGTACACAGTATTTTACTAAATAGACACTGTGAGCTTCCTGAAGTGTCCACCGAGCCCAAGGAGATCACACCTCACCTCACCTGTAACTCTTCTGTGAGGAAAACAAAACAGAAATGTTCATTTTGTAGCTGGAATACTACTGAAAAGCAACCGGGAAGAGCGGGAAACAAGGAGCTCCCCATGGCAGGGAACGGAGCCCCAACACTTGTCACCCTGAACTGAGGGGGTTTTACCAAGAAAGGGAATGGGCAGATCACAGCTATTGGTCAATTTTAGATTTCAGAGACTTGATACCTAGTCAAACCTTTATTCTCTGCCCTTTTTAATATGCCTCTCTAGAGATGTTAATCATGAAATGCCCTCAATGCACAGAAACTATGCTTTTGGTCCCAACGAAATTCAGAAATGAGCATCAAGAGCTGTCAGACCATTGCAATCCTGGAATCACACCTTCCACCTTGGACTTCAAATAAATGCTATGGTGTTTTCAGGCGAACAATGAGTTCTCTTACTGCTGTATCTGTTCCACGCCCTTCCTGCATATGTAGAGCCCACCACGGGAGGTGGCGATTTCCTCTGGTTTGCAAGGGCTCTTCAGCCAGAGCCAGAGGAAAGAAAGGCATGTGGGGAACGGCCTGCCCTGCAAGGCTGGATGTTTTTCCATTTGCAATCAACCTTGAAAGTGTCCTTTTCAGAGCAGAATGCAGACAGCTGCTGGCGTGGCTTTCGCTGGGTACTAGTGGTAAAACAGGTTTGTCTTTACTCACTAATCTCTTGCCTTAGATTTACTTGCTACTATTGCTTTAGTTTGCAATTCCTTCTTGTTCTCCCCCCTGAGAGGTTCTGTTTTCACCTCTCCCAAGGTTACATTCTTTGCAGCCGTGGGAGAACACAGCTGGCGGAGGGTGGCCTCTTGGTGTTGTCAACCACCTTTCTAGCTACTCCCCTGTATGCTGTAACCCACTGTCAGGCACTATTAGATGAGATGAAAAAATTGCTTTTTGTCAATCAGTTGTTGGTTTAGACCAGTGGTTCTTAACTCGAGTGGCTTTGCCCCAACGTGACATGTGGTAATGTCTGGAAACATTTTTGACTGCTCAAACTGGGAGGGGGTGGGGGTGGGGTTGCCTCTGGCATCTCATGGGTCAACATTCTACACTGCACAGGACAGCCCCCACAGCAGAGAACTATCCAGTCCAAAATGTCAGTAGGGCTAAGATTAAGAAACTGATTTAGAGCAAGGCCCCCCTCCCCGCCAAAACCCCACCAAGCCACCAGATCAAGAATTCTTTGACCAGATGCTTAGGGGCTCCTAACAGCTGGGTACACGTACTCCTTTTCTCTTTCTCCCTGCCAGTCCCAAAAGATTAAAAGAAAGAGATCAGCTAAATAACAAAACTTGACCACTTCACACCAAATGGGAGATGGTGAATCTTACAAGAACCGAGATTACGTTAAGACCATGGAAGCTCACTGACATTCTGTCATGTCATGTTAACAACCCTGTGAAGAAGGTGTTTGTGGCTTTGCTTTACTCCTGAGCAGATGGAGGTGCCGGAACCTTGGCGACAGCACGCAGGGAGGAAGTGGCAGAGCTGGGGACACCGCCTGTCCATTCATTTCCAAGCTTGGGGCCGTGACCCATGTGTGTGTCATAAAATCCATTTATTGCATCATAATGCACACTTTTTAAGAAAATGAAATAGGAAATAATAGAAAATGTAAGAGTAAATATAGTTTCATGAAACCTTTTCTTTACCACTTGGCTGTGGTCAAAAGCTGGGACGCCAGAAGTCTAGTCCAGGCACTGCTGTGCAGACGGGGAAAATGGGGTCCCGGGAGGGTGGGTGACTTGCCTGTGGTCACCAGCCATCTGGGGGCCTGGGACTCAAGTCCAACTTGATGGAAAATTGATGCCTGGGCCCATACCACCTGGTGGCTGGCCTGGGTATCTCACTGCACCGAGATGTGGAAGAGCCGCTCAAACGCGCACTAGCAGATGTCATTCTCTTCACACGAGGCCAGGCGCGAGGGCGGCACCCCTGAAGGAAGACTGGAGGGAAGGCACAGCCATGGTACCCACACTTTCCCACTTTAATCTAACCTTGGAGACCTCTTCCTCTCAACCAACAGTGGTGCCCAAAGACAGGGGAGATGAACTGATGCGGGTAATGGCCTCTCCCAGATTAATTTTCTGGCTCAACCTACCAGCTGAAACATCAGCGTGCTACCATGGGGACCTATCTTGACAAATGTCTACCACTACCACCTGAGACATGGGAGACAGTGAGTTGTTTTTTAGTTTTCCAAAAATTCACTTGAGGTGGGCCCCAAGTTTGAAGTAGTCTGCTGCACTAAAGTTGCTTCGTGGGCACTTGGGGTGGGGAAGGTCACACAGCCAAGTTCCGCGGACCTTCACCTCACATGGGGCAGCTATTTTTACAGCTTATGAGACCTACTAAAGAGAGCAGGAAATTTGTTATTTAAAAAGGGACCTTAGAAAATATCTTTTGTTCCAACAGTCAGGTGTCCAATATACTTTTAAACTCTTACGGCTCTTTATTTGAGCCAGTATGTTAAAACCTGAAGCTAATGTATTTCTATGAGCTGATATTCCCGTCTGTTCCTTCCCCATCCTGGTTCGGGTAGCCCAGTATGGGGTTAGCAGTGTCTGGCTCAGGATGTGGAAGATGGTTTACCCCTCGTTAGTGTTGCTTTCCAGGCTATGGAATGCAAACGTTGCCCCAGCAGTGCCCCACTTTTTAGATGGGGGCAATGGGGGCGGGAAGGCACGCTCTAGATGGTGTAGCACGATATGCTTTTGTCTGCCCAGCTTCTTAATGCATTTATTCCCATGCACTTTTCCTTTAAGATTGTGAACACGTGGTATCCCTCCCCGCAGAGCAGAACTGGGGATTCACACCACACGTGATGCAGGCACACGGACGGCAGGGGCTGTGTAAACTACCACCCCAACACGGAAGCAGCTGGCCAGCACCATCAGACAAGACGCCATGACCAACAGACCAGACCTTCTGCGAACACAGCCAAAACAGAGAAGCAACACAGGAACACAAAGGCTGGGCTATACAGAGAATCAATAAAAATAAACTTCCCAGTGGGACTCACCCGCCCACCCACACACAGAGAAGGAAGGAGGGAGGGGAAGAAGGAAGGAGGGGGGGGATAATGCCAAAGAAGCTAACGCAACTCGTGAATAATGGGCCCTATTCGCGCCTGGACAGGCTGCTCACACAACTGAGGCTCCTGGTCCGATGCATCAGGAATGTCCGCTTCTGCCAACGACAGCTCTGCAGCGAATGAGGCAATGGAGGCACAAGCAGCGGAGACAGCTTAAACGAGCTATGGAAATAGCAGACTCACCTCCTCAGAAAGCGACTTTTCATGTGGATATGCTCAGGAAAAAACACTAGTGCAAAGAAAAGTGAGGGGAGTCTTCTACACCTCCTGGAAATACGGGGAACACACCCCACCCAACCAACCCAAGTCAGGAGCACCCCCTGCTCTGTGCTTGTTTTTCTGAACGGACACCTGACTCAACAGCATGGTCCCAGCACTGTGAACAAGGAGCGTCAGGGCTGTAACCACACTGCTCCTTGCCAGGAAAACACCCATCGAATCCCACAGCGGTGCTCCCTACACTACCTGCCACCCTCCAGGATCTCTGGCCAGCTTTCCAATGCCTGTTATTTATGACATTCTTAAAAGCCCTGATAATGACTGAAAGAGATTATCCTTATTTGCTTAGGTCAAGGAGAAGCACCAAGAATAAAAGTTAGAACCGCAAGACTTTTCCCACCAAAAACAATTTTCCTTCCATGAAATGGTCTGTCACTTTAAGGCAGATGTTTATTCAACTAAATTCCTGATGGTTGGTGTCACAATAAAGCACACTTAACTAATAAAGGTTCTAGAAAACACTGGTTGGCCAAAATCCTGTTGCTCTTTGGTTCTTAAGTGACACCTCAAGGAAACATCCCAGTGAGATAAGCTGTCAGTGGAACTAACTACCTGCTGGAACAAAAGAACAGGGAAGGGGGGGTACACTGTTAGAAAATCCCAGCGGGCACGTGGCCTCCAGGCCCTCCATGGTCTGGCCGCTGCCCACCCCAGCACAGGCATCAACAAACTCCAGATGGGGCGGCCCAATCGACCCGCAGCTAGGGGTGGTGTGTGTGTATTTAAGTAGTTTGGAGAGGGAACAACAGCAACAACAACAAATTATCTTGAGACATGATAATTACATGAAATTCAAGTTTCAGTGTCTATTACCAGTTTCACTGGCGCACAGGCACGTCTGTTGGTTCACGTGCTGTCTATGGCAGCTTTCATGCTTCAACAGCAAAGGTGAGCAGTTACAACAGAAACAGTAAGGCCTGAAGTATTAACTATCTGTTCCTTCAGAGAAAGAGTTTGCTGATCCCTATCCTGGCACATACCAAGCTCACACGTTGACACCTGCGGTTGCCTCTGTATGGAAGTCACCCCTGGCCCCTCGGCTTTGTACGGTGTCAGCTCCTTCTCATCCTTAGGTTCTGGCTTGAATGTCACCTTGCCTGCATGGCTTTTCTTGATTACTCTATCTAGAGACTGCTAGCCCAGCTTCACCTGTGTATATCCTTCGTAGCTCCTACCTGAAAGTCTCTTGTTCACTTACTTAGGGGCGGGCTTTGCAGAAGAACATACACCTCTCAGGGGTGGCCCTCGCCTGTTGTGCTCACTGCTGTATCCCTAGCACTGGGCAGAGTATTTGTGAGCTGCATGAACAGTGACCACCCTGGTTACAAAGACTGTGCAAAGCCATCCTCAGGCCTGTCTCCTATCCCCAGAGGTCCCAGCTGAAGACACTGCCCTGGCTTTGGGCATCACGGTGGAGTGAGTGAGACATAATACAAGCAATCAATTAAAACCTGTTATACTGAAGAGGTTACACATGACAACTAAGCTGAGCTGTCAGTTAGGAACACAATGTGTTTTATGCTGAAGGAGTCGGGGAGACAGGTTCTACCACCTCATGGATTCTGGGCTCAGAGTGACAGTTGCCCAAGGCCTGCTTTGATCCTCCAGCCTTTGACTGTCCCCTGCCTGTCACAGGGGCCTGGCATTTCAGTGGTAGTCAGCTCTGATTAAAACTTAACCTCATGCTTATAAATAGAAACATCTTTTAAACACTAATTAAAAATAACAGGCTGGCATTTGGAAACTCCTATAAACAAAAATATAAGAGCTGAAATAAACAGCAACAGTTGCACGTCTGATCTATGCTTAGGTGGGGAAAAACCTATACGCGTCTTGTCTGGGGCTGTTCAATTAACTCCCAAATTTATGGCACTTTAAAATGTATAACAATGTCTATCATACCTTTTCATCTAATAATGAGCTGGCTTTTCTCCATTTACTCCATTTCAATGCATGTGAAATTAATTTCTGTATTTTATTTAACCCAACATATCCAAAGTATCATTTTCACATTTTAATCAATACAAAGGAATTATGAGTGAGACATTTTGCTGTTTTCTCTGCTGCGTCTTCAGTATCCGTGCATTTCACACTCTTACTCACAGCACATCTCAATTCGAAACAGCCATACATCAAGGGCTCAGTAACCACATGTTACTACATGGCTGCCATTTTGGACTGCAGTTGTTAATGTTCAGTTACTTTCAATTGAACACAAACCAAACTTACTTGACTTTAGGAGTTTTATATTAAAAGAGCTTTTCTCTTTTTGACTGTGTGCTTGTTTTTAACTTAAGATGACTAATACAACAAATATTTATTATCTATTTATCTGTATAGATATAAAAAACCCTGTAACTCATCTTAGGATTCACATCACATTCTTCACAATAAATACGCTAAAAGATATTGAGAACCACATCATACTGCTTTCCCACAAGCATCCAATTTTGCTTTTCCAACAACGGCTGTTAGATTTAGTTTTCATTTCCTTTACATATGGCTCCTTTCCTGTCTTAACTGAATGCAACCAAGAGGCTCTGGCACGTCTGAGCCAAGTTTCCTTAAAGCGCAACGGGCTGGACAGACGGCGCCACCACCACACACAAGATGACCCGCCCACGTTTATAACTCAGAAGCACTCCACCCCGCCTGCCTGCTCATTCCTTTAGGAGACTTATGGCCGTCCTTGTGATTTAATGATTTAAGAAGAGGGAAAAACCTAGGACCTCAAAATATCCCAGTAATAACCAGTTCAGGGCCCCTGCTGGAAGGAGCACGACCAGGGAGGCAGTTTCCACTTGGCTGGAAGGACTTGCTCTTCACTCCTGAGTACACAGCATGGGGTGCTGCTCATGGAAATAGCAGTTTCAACAGTTTGGGATGCAAAGGGCCCACGTTCTTCACAACTGCGAGGGCCCCACTGTTTGAACCTCGAGGGTGGTCCTGACTTACCTCTGCATCCTGCTGGGGGAGGTGGTATGTCCTTTCAAGCCTTTGTAGAGTTCTGGGGTTCAGGGTCTTCTGCTCCAAAAGATGCTCTAGAAGCAAGACCAGCTGGTCTGGAAGAAGCTGAGGGCAAAACCAACAGCCAGTGAAAATGCCATTCAGCTTACAAGGAATTAACCACAAACATTCAGAACAAAGACAGTAAATCCAGGGTAACCTAGGCACTTCGGCAGATGTCTGAAACACGAGAAAACTGTAGACCTGACTTTAGTAAAGCCTCAGTGTTTACACTCACTCTATCCCCAAAGACACTGCATCTGGGGCCTGATTAAGGCCTATTCTCCATGGCTTGTCATGTCAGTTCTATGTTTAGGGCAGATCAAAACTGTGTTAATCGTTTTTCTTTTTTAAGGTTGTACAATATGATGGTTTAATATATATATGTTGAATATATACTGGGGATGCCAAAAAACTGTCTACACATGACTTGTATTCATCTTTTGTTATCAGTATATGTTGAGTATCACAATTTTAATAGTTTTTTCCCTTTTTAAAAATGTGTATATCCTGTGAAATGATAAAAACTGTACTTATCTTAATAAAATATTCTCATGGTTTATTAGATCCCTTTCTTTATGGCATACATGTGCCAAACAATGTCATTTAGCTTCGACAAAGATTCAAGAAACCATGTGATCTTAGGCAAACACATGGAAATTTAACAGAAATGAGAGGCCGTATTCAGATTTCCTTTACCACCTGACCCTTGCAAATGAACCAAAATGAACCAAAATCTCAACAGTATGTAATGAAACAAGAACCATGTCTCACAATCCCTCCATTATAAAAATTATAAGTTTACTATTCCATTAAAAATATCAAAGAATGTGATTTTACACACACACACACACACACACACACACACACACACACACACACAGAGTCACTTATTTTCCTAAGTTTTCATACAGGACAGGTAAAAAATGGGGTTACCAGTTAAGGGCAAAGAGAGGAGGGTGTTTTTACATAGTACACAAATAATGAAAACTATTTTATAAACAAACACCACTTGTGAAATCCAAGAACTGAAAATATCCGTCTTATTCACATACTATTACCCCACAGTGCCTAGATCAGCCCCTAGAGCAGACAGCACTCACATAAACTACAAATGCAGAGAAAAGCACATTTAAGATGCATCTTGTAGGAAGTGGAAAATAGTTATTCTAAAATCATGGTTTTAAAATTAGTACTATGAATTCTACAAGACTCTGCATTTAGCTTTTCTCCATCCCTACTTATGCCCAGACAATCCCTGTCAACGACCACAAATTTATGAGTCTACAAGTCAATACCAGGCCAGCAGAATATATAGAAAAACACTTGGATTTTTAATCCCTACTTTCTGTTATTCTCAAAGAAATTTTAAAAATTCATAGGTTCTCTCTCTCTTTACCTTTCTTCCCCCAAGTGTGCACTCTGCCTGTCCCCCTCCGCCGCACCCCCCCCGCCGCCACTTTCCCAAAATACATGTGGAGGGAAATCGGGTGGATCATGCAGAACACTCACCACTTAACTCCACAAAGAATGCGCTTCTTGTGTTTCCTCACCTTGCCCTTCTGTTCTAAGGAAACACCCACTTGCCTACAGACAGACACAAGATACACATGCCTTGATTCTTGGGCGGTTTGATTTCATAACATCCTTCCATGCACCTGAATCAAGCTGTGACTCCTCTCAGGCTGACAGGAGAAAGGAGGTGCCTTCAGCCGAAACAGGGCTACAGCCAGCACTGACCCGTGAGGTTCTCCACAAGGACTCAGAGAATGACTAACACTTAATTTCCTTTCATCAGAAGTCATGTGCCTGGTACGATGCTTTAAGGATATCAAATTACATCCTAACAAGTAGTAACAAAAATGCCAGTTTTCCATTTTCTGTAGTTAGACACATGAGGCTACTTTTATGATAGTAAAAGAAATCTGTTTTATAAAACAGGAACCAGACTCTGGAGAACCTCCTCACCAGGTCACACCATGAGCCCTGTGCTGGAGTGGGGCTCGGCAGCTCAGCCGGCACCCGGCTCCCTGGCCCTCCTTCCTGTCCATCTCACCCTGCAGCCTACCCTCCCTCTCTGGATCTTCCTTCCCTGAGTTCCACGAGGGGCCCCTCGCTGGTGGAGGTTAAGCCGTCAGCCAGGCCGAGTGCATCCTTCAGTCCCCTACGGTCACTTCCCAATTGTCCTTCTGCACGTGAACCCTCTTCACAGAGCCGGCCCTTCCTCCCCCGTCATGGTCTCTCCCTACCCACCCTATCCCTTTCCAAAGGGTGCGCCACATGGCCGCAATCTGAGGTGGCCCGGCTAGGTGCCAACGGAGCAACAGTCCACCTACCTCTATGGGGACTTGGGAGGGGAGGGCCCCAGAATCAGAGCAGCCACTCTGTGCTGCATCCCGAGGGGCAGTCTCAAAACTGGTCGGCAGCCATGCCCAAGGCAGCAACACCTCAAGTGCTGAGGCCACTCTGGACGCAGGAAGACAGCTTTTACGGAAGGGCCCAGCCTGACACAGGGAAGAATATCCATCGATTGGGGGTAGGGACCGGTTCACTAACTGAATACAGCGGGAGCCAGCCTGGGCAATTCGCAGAATTACAGGGAAGGAAAGAATGGAAAGAAAAGCATCTCCCTATTATGTGCCTACGTGTACAAAGAGGCCTAGTGTTAGAATTCCCGCTTTGGATATGGTTTAAACTAGAGGAACCCACGGAGGAAAGAAACCCTTGAGGAAGACGACTAGCTTGGCCCTCAACTTACCCTAGCTGGGTTTTACCAATAAACGCAACTCCAGTTTAAAATCTAAGAATTACTAATATGTGAACCTATCGAAATATCTGGATTCACACTTTCATATCTCTTGCAGCTTTCTCTAAGCAGAAAACTCACGTATCTGCACACAGAAACAGAACAGAAAAAGATCACTGAAAGTTTCTGTCCTCTCCTAATCTCACATGATAGAAAAAATATTTAAAGCTAAGCCCCTGACTAAAGATAAACAGCTGAGGTGGAATGAGGGCGTCAAGCCTTTGTGGTTCTTTAACAAGTTTAATTCATTCTAACTGGAGACAGGTAAAGCGCCTGCATGCACACAGCCCTCCAGGTAGCCCTCCTAGGCACGGTGGTGCTGGCAGCACTGCAAGAGCCAGCTTGTTCCCACAGGCCAGAACACAACCAGGCCCCTCCACGCAGCCATGACAACAGTCCAGCTTCATGCCCTGGGTGCTGCTGGGCCCAGTCTCCAGAATGGGCTTGTACAAGTGACTCTCACTCAGGCAACAACCTGTAGCCATCTGCCTTTCAACTCTAACGCTTCTAATTCGCTGGGGGCAAATGTAGTTTCGGAATAATGAGAAAATCAGTGGTCAGACTATTTTAGTACAGACAATAAAACTAATTTAGTATCTTTCATTCACAAATGAGTAAGTAAACATTACATAATTTTTACATGAGATTACAGACCGTGAAAAGAGGATATTAAAGCAAAAATGCGGTAAAGTAGCTCGCTTTAATACAGTACATTTCTCTTTGTAAAATAAACATTTACTCCCAGTAAAGCCACCTTATGATGAAAGAGAAGTACTATGTAATAAACCAGAAATTTGCAAAGCAACTGAGAGAGCCCCACTCCAAATGTGCTGAGAGGCAGGCTCGCCCTGGCTGCTGGCTCGGCGGCAATGGGAAATGCTGTGTGGGTCATTCCACTCCCACCTACATGGAAATCAAATTAAATTTCACATGACTTCTAGGCCAACTGTCTTTTAGTACAGTGGTACTGAGGAAGACAAACATGGCTTTAGTCACACCATGGAGTGATTAAGAAAAACAAAGTACATGTTTCAGAGCATTAATTATCTCCTGAGAAAGCAGCTCCTTCGAACATTATAAGAAGAACCTGCCTTTACTTACCTCTGAGGGTCTCACAGCCACAGTTTAACAGTGACAGGAATAGAAAGTCTTTCACTTTGTACAAACAAGGAATTCATGACTGGATTATTATTTTTTCCATATGGAAACCAGTTCGGTATTTTTAAAATGCATCTGCCTCAGTAACTTAAGACAAAATAAGGCTATGGGGTGCCAACATCATGTGGGTACTTGAAATAGAGAACTTCACAACACTGTAAAACTTACTCGAATACAAAAAACAAAATGCTAAAAGGAGGTCAGTCGATACAAATGCTATTTGTTAAGGATTCAGAGGTCTGTATTCTTGCTCTAAACATGGAGGATTCCTTAGTTGCTAATTAACCAGAAATGTACAAAGAAAGTCTACCTGGTATTTTTCCCAGTGAATTTAAGAGCTGAGGCAAGCCGCACAACTCTGAACGGTTTTAAAGAGTTCCTACACCGACTCTTGGAAAGAAAATATGAATTTTCCAAACCCACCCTTCCCAGTCTACAAGCAGCACAAAGAAAACAAACCCTGATTCTTCCAGAAGCCTCTCACTGCTGTCACGGGGGACATCACTCACTCCTGGCTCCCAGAAGGACCACCCACGCAACTGAGGCCCTCCACCATTTCTTCCATTAGCGGGACGCAGAAAAGGCCAGCTCAACTCCTATACAAAATGTCACAACGCGTCTCATTACTGACCTTCCACAGGCAGGCCCCAACACAAGGACTCCAGTGCACACGAACATCTGAACCCCACTGCCTGCACCTCCAAAAGCAAAGAACAGCACCTCCCGTCCCGGCCCCGCTGGCATGCTGCAGCCACGGAGGAAGTCTCTGAGAGGCGCCCCGACGGGGAAGGAGCCTGGAACTAATGCAGCCACCGACTGACAGTGGCGTGAGTTCTATTATTACCCCATTATCACTCTGGGATCTGTGCCTAAATGAAGCATGCTTCCTCCCTGATGCCATTTCCTTTTATCCTGGCTGGAGACTAAAAGCGGATCAATGGGGGCAATACATATGATGTCACTTCAATTTACAGCAGCGGCCTCCCTCTCTTTCAGTCTGTCTAAAACACACAGAAAGATCAATTCTTCCCAAAAATGGTTAAAAAATGCTTAGGGAGCATTCTTCTTCCAGAAAAGCATTCTCTGCTATATTTGTCTATGTTTCTACGACAGGAACTGTTTACACTGAACAAAAACAGAAGAAATGGGGGAGGGAGAAAATCTCAAATTCTCCTGTATGCTGGAGACTTGCTGGCTGAAATTCAACACAAGCAGGGTCCAAACCAGACTCGACACGGCTGCCCTTTGAAAGTCACATGCAGAAGGCTTTCTGGCAGAGGGCACAGCGGAAAGCAGTTCTCCTTGGCCTCCTGGATTAACAAGGTAATCCCACAGATACAAAATGTCTTTTTTGTAAGACTAACAAACTCCTTCCGACTCTTCCCAGAAAACACCTAACCATACTTGACAGCCTCAGGTGCCTCCACAGTGCATAGGTGTGCGAGCCATGGGTTTCCATTCATACAGTTCTCTCATTAGGGGTGACAAGGAACTCTAACTACAGGATATGTGACAGAACTTTAAACCAAGTCATCTTTCAGACACTGCTCTGAACCAAAATAAGTAAAAATCTCTGAATTGTATACATTTTCATATGACGATTTTTGAAAACTGTGTAAAATTAAGTTATAATCACGAAGTTCCTGAAAACAAGAGTTCTCCTTCCTCAAAATCCTCCAAGTATCGGAACTCTGGCGTTCTAGCTGACCTTGTCTATCCCCAACACTGGTGAGAGCCATGGGCTTCACATCAGTGTTAGGATATAATCTTTCATCTGTCACTTTCTTATTGATAAATGTTCTCAAGTGTCAAAAATGAGCCAATTGATAATTTGTGCATAAGCAAGAGTCTGCCCATGAGCTGCTGTCAATCAAAATATCACGATATAATTAAAATATTTTTAGTCTAAAACGTTTAGTATTACTAGTACTAGTAACTTGTACAGAGGAAAAATAGAATTGCTTGGTTGGAACTGCTACACAAAACAACTGCTACTGAAAACAAAACTTACAACAGAAAAACCATCCTTTATAAGTTTAGGCAAAACCTTAACACATTTTAAAGAACTGCCAAATTTAAATGTAAAAGACTATAGTTCACATTATTTGGGGGTAACAAATTCGATTTGCCAAGCAACAAAAGTCACCAAATAAAATACTGAAAGGTAAAAATAATTTTCTTCAAAATAAAACAATCAAGAGGCATATATTTGTCCAGGCAGAATGTTATTTTTGATTATTAAACATTCTTTAAGGAGCACAGCTGCAGTCAAATTTGAGAAAGAAAATTTAAGCAGAAGCAAATATTCATATAATTCATTTCACATAGAAAAAAGCAATATTTACTGTTTTTGGGAAACGATTCTAACAGCCACGACTACTGTACTTCTGAGCCATGGCTTTGTCATGGTGTTTCCAAAAGTGATACCACAATGACCAAAACAGACACCATCAGCAGCAAATACTATCTGAAATAATTTATTGGTATAAACCATTCTCAAGTATCCAGATTATAAGGGTCAAATTTTCATGTGCTAACATTCCCCTAACTTTTATAAAAGTATTACACAAACTATATGCAATCTGACACAAAGCATATTATTTAAACTGCATAAAATGGGATCCTCTTGGCAACTGGATCTCTTATAACCATGTGTACACTAATGGTTTCTATTACACATTTTGGAAAATAAATATTTGTAAACACTCAAAGTGAATATTCCCAAGTATTTTACAAGAGATGCTTGGATCATCTTGGTGCTTGCCCCCCCTTCCCAGGAACCTGCCAGACTAATAACCAAAGGGGCCAAAGGAAGACCATTCCTGATTTGAATTTTATGCTTCTCAAGAAAATCATCACTCAGGAAGAAGAAACTATAAATTCCTAAGTGATTCCTAAGCCATTCACCCTGCCATGACAACCACGGCAGGCTCAACGCAGGGCTTATTTCAGGCTTTCTAAAGAATTTGGAATACTTGAAAGTTGAGAGAATACTTTCAACTTTTCTTGTACTTGCAGTATTTTTTTCAAAAAATTTTTCATAAAAATGAAAAAAAATTTCATTTCCTTAGAATGCTCTTAACTAAGTTAACAATATTATATTTAATAACTGATGCATTTATCTTGAATAAGTATATACATTTTATGAATCTGCGTTCCTAACTTATAGTGGTATTTTCTAACTAAAAATTCTAGTTACATACTAATTTATGACCTCCCAAGGTACATCCTATGACTATACCTTTATCATGAAAATGTCAGCTGGCTTGGTGTGTCAGAAATTATGGCTAATGGTATATAACCACGCAATGGAATACTATGCAACCATTTAAAAGAATGAGATGGAACTGTTTCTGTAATATGGTAAGATGGTAAGAAATGTTAAGATGAAGTTAAGAACAGAATGAATGTAGGATATGTTTGAATTCGTGTAAATACTTCCTAAAAATATATGAATAGAAATTAAGTAGCTCTTTTGAGTCAACTCTTTCTGAGTAATCTATATGAGCTGCCTGGTCTTCCTCTTTTTTCATTTTTGTTTTCTGCCTCCAGCTCAAGTTGAACTATATATTTTTCTGAAATCATGTTAAAAATATTTCCCAAAATTTTACTTAACGGTGAGAAGATCTACTTTATGAAGAAATTTAATACTGCAATCTAATCTCCAAGCACTGAAATTCATAAATGATTAAAGCACATGCTTTAGCGAGATGCTGACCAGAAACCAGGGGCTTCTGTTAAAGCAGGTCCAGTTAGTTACAGGCAGGTCCCCAGCACTAGTGTGAAAACTACGAGTGCCTCTCTATGCTTATTCAGAACAACACTATTTGAGAACACAGGTCTCAACAGTTCTAATTTCAATACTTCTACGATGATGATGAATGTTAATATCATTGAGTATAAGACATAAGTTCTGTATGTGCAACACACAAATATTGGAAGGATTTAAAATTTTCCAAATTCTTTGCAAATATACATGAAGCATTGTATCAAACAGTGACATGCTCAGACTTTTATGTTGTCATTGACAATGTACATGAACGATCAAGTATTTTCAGAGTTTTTTCCAAGGGAAAAACTACATCAAAATCAGATAGTCTATGTGGGATTATTTATTACAAATTTAACACTTTTCGTAAATAACTGTGTCAACGTTAGAGTCTTCTTTATAACACATAGTCCCAGGAACATAGGGATCTGATCCTTAGGAATATTCAGTCTGAAAACATAAGATTTTCCTCTAAATTACAAGTGATTACAAATGGGGGTGGGGGGGTGGGGGGTGAGAACAAGCTCTTACTGAAAATATGCTCTTCAGAATCTTATGGACAAAAACAGGATCCTATTTCAAGTTTAAACAAAGAATATCTGAGTTCAAACAAAACTATATTTTAACTTCTGTAAAAAAAATGCATACTTTAAAGGCAACTCCTTAATGAATGGAACCCGATCTTGCTCTTTTCATGTGCCATCTATACCATGCCTGACACTCACACACATTTATTAAATAAAGGCCTAATGTCCAATATAGTAAGATGGAGTAATACAGTAAAAATGACAGCAAGACAGCTGTCAATCAACAGTTTGGTGATTTAAGTAAATCTATTAGAAGAAAATTATATAGCTACACATGAAAATTCAGGCCAGAAGTGATTCTCACTTGGAAACTAAAACAAATCCAAAATATACACACATTCAAATGTATCAACTTTAAAAGTTTTATAAACATCCTGTTAAACAACACATGGGTAGATGATTCTTTTTTTTAAAAGCTGATGGTAAAATAACTGAAATGTCTCTTCAACTGCAATCGAGTAATCAATGAAATGATGGCTCTGCAATGTTTTAAAATGCTAATAAATCAGATTGTATGAGGACTAGTAACGACCCATTTTGTTCTAAGTGCAAAAACTCAATAGTACCTCTAAGAGAGATCTGTCCCTTTGCTTTCTAGTCTCCTTGTTTAAACTTGTCATTACAGACGTAAGTTTTTTAATTATTGAATTTAACAGCTAAAAGAAAAGCCACAAGAGCATTTGGACACAATATTAAGAAGAGTTGCAAGGTGAGAAAAAAAACCCAAAAAACAGAAGGAGGGAGAAACCAAGTGAACCACTTTGGCCCTCACAGACAAATGACTCAGGCATGGACACACACATACACTCAACGTATTTTTAAGCGCAGGACATAATTTATAAACAAATTTCACTCTTGGGTATTTATTCTGGACTAAAATACTAACATTCCATTACTCCTAGTTCCTGTTCTTTCTTCTTCATAGGCACATAGTCAAAACAACATAAATATCTTTTTGGTTAATTTTATTTTCTAATATCCTTTCTGTATTTTCTACCAAATCCAAACTAAGCATAAATTTTAGCCACATGTCCATAATTTGTTGTGGTTTCTGTCATAAAGTCGACAAAGAAACATATCCTTAAATATATGTATAGCCAACCACAACTAAAGAGGAACTGTGGGGGGTGTGAAGTGGAAGAGGGTGAGGAGTCAAACTCCATGAATTATTGCTGCAAAAATAAAGAAAGAAAGTTGTTTCTATTTAATAAAAATGTGTTGAGTACTGTACAATTTACTATCCAGTGTCTCAGTGTTTTTTCACAGAATGATTTAATGTATATAAAGCACAGGAATCGGACTTCACCCAAATTCTGTATTACTTTTGGATTCTGGTCCAGACATTTTACATTCTGGATTAACTTTGAAAAGTTTTATGAGGAACAGAGCAAAGGATTAATTTATGGGTCACTTCAACACAGAAATCTGTATTCTTGAAAAAGATACAGGCTTATTAACTTCAGGAGAAAAAAAGGAAGAAATCAAGTTTCACATACTTTCAAGAAATGTTTACTTCATTTTTCATTTTTTTCCCTCCTTGTCTCTCTCTTCCACCTCAATACCAGCTCATCTGAAGGGAAGGAAAGTTTTGAGTGGGCCAGCATTCGGCATGAAGAGAAATGGCTGTTTTGTGGATGCCTATCATGTGAGCAGGTCAAACAGGTGAATGAGAAACACAATACATGAATGATGCCAGGTTTGTTTACCCCAACGTTGCATGCTATGTACAAATATAGCTGAATAATTCATAAACTAATGTACTTCCCATCACAGTAGAAACCATCCCCAACTAAACAAGTAGACTGAAACAGTGTTATAAAAATATCCTTTGAGGGCAAAACGTCCACTTGACTGCTGTGCCAGTTCAGATGTTATTATCTTTCTTTTACTGTGAGCTCCAGCTCCTACTCATGGCCCCAGAGCAGCCTGAAGCTGATCTAGGAGCAGGAAACCTGAAATGCGGACTTTTTGCTGCCATGGAGTATTTTCTCATGTGAATTCAAATACGTACTTGAAAGTCAATCAACAGAATTAAGTCTTCAAAGAAGCAAAACACATACTTTTTAACCATGGGGCTAAAATCCTAAAATTTCTAACCATGGATTTAAAAACCAAGTATGTCTAAGGCTTACCAACAACCTTTCCATAGGTGTGGGCATGACTATGATTAAACCTAAGATGTGTTTTCGAGTAGCAATCTAAAATCCCGGTGCTTGGGATTTTACTGTTATTCATAATAGACTCCTAGAAAAATTTCATAAAAATTATAGTCAAGTTTTAACATTTCTATTCTTTTTATATCTGCCTTTGTGTATGTATAATGTGCTCATGTGAGAAAAATTCAGTATTATTTTATTGGTATGTTTTAACAGCACAGAACTTTCAGAAATTATAGGAAATGTGTTTGGATTTCTAAGTTTTGATTGTTTATTCAACTTTAATAGCAAATAAATCAGTCTACGGAAAAACCAAACTTTCCCTCCAGCTTAATTTATCTGTATAAATTAACTTGGAATTCATCTTAAAAACCAGAGGTAGCAATGCAACAGTTTTCTTTATATAGGTTTTTAGAAACTTTTCTGATATAATTAAAACAAAAAAAAACCTTTAAAAAATGATGTTTATTCTCCACATTTTAACAGAATATCTACTACTTTGCTTTTAACATATCGAAGTTACAGCATATCAGTTATAGTCTACCCATCCTATCCCAAAGTGAGGCTTGACTTATTTAAAACAAATTAACTTCAACAAACCAGTAATCACAGATCTCCCCCAAAAAGAAACGTGGACACCCAGATTTTAAAATTACTAAATGCAACCTCACAGGTTAAGAACCACTTTTCTGCCGATTTCATCATGTAGGGTTCCATCTCAGACCTCCACAAGTAATAGTTGAGACAAACAAAAAAAGGAACAGACTGCTGCTCCCTCCCGGACAACCCAAACTTCACTGTAGAGTCATGATTTAAAATGTAGCTTCTTTTCTTGTCTGTGGTTAACTGTCCTGCGTTAGGTCCACATTTCCATCTAAGGTTGTTTGCTAGGAATTGAGACCAAAGACCAGAACCCCTCTAGGGGCTCAAGTTAACCTGCAGAACATTTTAAAAGAAGGCTGCCTGAAGCAGTCATTTTTGTTACTCTTTTCCAGCTGCATTTGTCCTTTCAATGGACTTCCTTGAGCGCATCAGAATGTGTGTGTTTACCTGGCCTTTTTTCCTTGAAGACTTGGAAATATAACACAAACAACTGCAATACCAAAGCCCACGCCCTTGAATGCTCTGCGAGTTTTATGCTTACAACAAGTACAAAAGCGCTGAAACAAGGCAACAGCCCGTCAGAAGCACCTTCTGAAAGCAACTATAACGCTCACTCACATCAAGTGATAGCACCATGCTAGTGGGAATGCCAACGCCACACAAGGGGCTGTTAGCTGTGAGCGAATACGGACGGACAGGATGAAGAAGCAGAACGAATAATAGTGAATCAAGCTTGGCTTTCTTTCCTGCTAAAGCTCATTTGGTGGAAAGATTGAGGTTAAACAGAGGAAAATGAGAAGGGATTTTGGTAGACGGAGAAAAAAAAACACCCTAATTCTCCTAACTCACACCAGCTGACGGCCCCGGGCCCCGCAGCTGTCAGACAGGCCGGGCAGCGGCGGGCGGGCCCGACCCGGGGGCGGGGGAGGAAAACGGCTTACTTACTGAGGCTCCCGCTGGGGCGCAGACCCGAGCCTGGAGCCCTCAGATCGGTCCCGGGAACCGGCGGCTAAGTCCCGCGACCGCCCGCGCACCGCCTCCTCCTCCCGGCCAATCCCCGCAGAGGCCGCCGCGCCCCGCTCAGCTCGGCTCGGCCCCGCCCCGCCCCGCCCCGCGCGGCCAGTCGGGGCCGGGTTCCCACCGCGCGGCGCCCCTTCCCAGCCACACCCCTGGCCCCCACCCCGCCCCGCCTGTCAGCTCCCACCCAGTAATTACTCTAATTAGAAGTTTTAGTCTCAGCAGTTAAACAATGTACGAACCAGTCCCAACACAGCCTGCAATTCAAATGGCTTTGAGAACAAAGGCAATCATAGCTGCAGCAATTTTTCCTCTAATTTATAGAACGTGGAGACTTTCTCTCACTGCACACTGTACTTAAAATTTAAAAAAGTTTAACCTCTGGGATACGTGCCATTTCACAAGGATATTAGCATTTCTGTGGAAAAATGCTAGACCATGCTGGCTACAACTAACAAAGAATAAAAAGAAAACCACTGTTTCAAACAAATGAATATTAAACTTGTAAGTTTGTTCCCTCCTGCTGAACAAATGTTTCTGGATCACCTGGTCGAAATGAACAAGATGTACAGAGATGTGGGAGGGCTGTCATCTTACAGTTTATAGGTTATATGAATAAAAGGGAAACAAACTACCAAGGAAACTATACTATCTTTTTAGTAAACAATCTGCATAATTCTTAGTACTGATGGAAGTTGCTAATTTTTCACACTAATATCAGTTGAATGGCTCCTTGCCCATCCAAAGGGGAAAACAACAAATGCCAGAATTCAGTTGCCAGGGCGCAAGGACACCAGAAACAACCAGAATATTCCAATAGCACACCAGAGGCCAGTCTTGTTTCCATTCTTACAGCAATCCCAGTAGATAAAGGTCACCAGAACAGATTCTGACAACAAAATAAGAAAACTGCAACTATCAACTATAATAACTATTTCAAGGATTCTGGGGAAACTTATTTATTGGGAATAAATGAGAGGAACCCTCAGGAAGGGAAGTGATCAGGCCTGTTTTCCCTAGAAAACTGTAACAGTCCATTCACAGTTCTGAGTATTAAATGCTTCAGTCTAATTTTAAATGCACAGTAGAATCTTCAAAATGAGTAAAACTGTAAATGTAAATACGTGCTGAGAAAAATACAACAAAATACCAAAAACAAAAAAGCCTTTTTATAGTTTTCCAGTACTGGTTTGATCTTTAAAGCAATCTGTATCCATTTTAGAAGAATTAGTGAACAACTTAGAAGTTAAGTTTAAGTGAAAGATTAAAAAAAAAACAACATAGGCAATGAACTATAAAATAAAGTGGAAAAATAATAAAAACCACTACACAAAAATGTTGCATAAAATACATTATATGGCTCATATATATATATGTATATATCTTCCCCTTTCACTGTATTTTTTACAAATACAGATTTTCATTTCTTCAAAATTTCAGGAAAGTATAGTTTTCAGTCCTACGCCATGCATTTACTAGGATATGCTCTAAAATTTCTTTATTTTTAAGTGCAAGAAATCTTAACTGTTGACATTATGGAAAACTAATTCAGTACCTTATTTTGTTACGAAATGCTATTTTTGTTTAGCAGTTAAGTTTGCCTCTCCTAATTTATAGTTTCATTGTGGTAACCATTTTAAAAGTTAATCTTTTTTTACATGAAAATCAACTAATTTCAAGTTAAAACGAACAGAAAGTACGAAACAATTAAAATCAAATGCAAACATTTTCAAATGTTAATGTATCTACCTGTTAAAAACTTTAAGTCCCTGAAAATAAGATGACATTCTTAAATGCTAAACTAAGAAAACCAGGTGCCTGGTAAATAAAAATATAGAAAGGACTCCCAAACACTTGTTCTGCAGATGAAATAACATGAGCAAGTGAGAATATAGGGAGAAAGTTTCTTCACAGACATGATACTTCCCAAAACCCTATCCTTCCAAAATTTCCCACTGAGTCAAAATCTAAATTTTTAAATGGCTTAAAAGTCAATCTCTGTGTACAAGACAGGACACGATACCTCCCTTAACATTTGTAAGATTTATGCATGTTTTCAAAATATAAGAGCATTAAATCATTCAATATAATTCTTTAAAAAACAAATTTTCAGTTTGAAAAACTCATTATCTACCTTCAGATAATAAACATAATAAATATTCTGCAATGAGGCAGACAAAAATATATTTTACAAAACATACCAAAATGTTCTTTTAACGTCAACATCCAATAGCCAAATATCCACCCTGTTATCAGCCTCATCGCTAACATGAGCTGATCTTAGCATTTATTTTTAAAAGCAAAAAGCCATTGCCGATTAAGCTATTGGTGAAATCTGCAATTTTGCTTTAAACTGAAAGGTTGGGAGCAAGACTTAAAACCACATACTGTCCTGAGAGTATCTTCACTTATGTTCTCACCAACATCGCAGATCCATTTCTCACTGATTCTAATATTATCTGTTCACGCTATTTTTATAGTGACCATTATTTCCCCTTTTGGAAGTCAAATCATTAGCACTACTCCATAAAAAAAAATTTTTTTTAAAGAAGCTGTATCTGGGGAACGTTCTCCCCATTCCTTCCACGCTGAGCGCAGTCCTCTGTAGCCAGCAGTGCCGGAGCCCCCTGCGCATCACCCTCAGCTCCCACCTCTCCCCAAAGCAGGGGCGGTGACACCTTTCCAAGGCTTTGCAAAGGCAAGTCCCCAAAGGCCACTATCAATTCCGCAGGGCCCGCTGGGCGATGCTGTACTAAATCGATACATCTTGCCCCCCCACTCTCAAATAACGTCACCTAAGTTTAATGACGGCGAGAACCATACTAACATCGGTCCCTGGGACACTTCCTTCTCTGAAAGCAAGGAATGATCCAAATTAAAAGCACAAGGACGAAACCCAAAATTTAAGTACCTAGCTCTTAGGGCAGCTTTGGCTGTTCTGCAGCAATCTTTGATGCGAGCACCTCTTTCCGGCTCCAAAGCCAAGGCCCTGGGTGGTGGGTGGTCGGTCGTTCGGGATCCCTCGACATTACGAACAGAAGCCCTTCGCCCGAAGGGCCAAGCCACCGGCGTCCACCAGGAAGGCGCAGTAGGTCCCCGCAGGAAAGAGCGTGGGCAAGAGGGATTTAGGAAATCTCATGTAAGCCCCACAGCCCGGCTTCCAAGCCGGGAGTAACAATACAAGAAAGTTTTAACCAAGCAAGTCATGTCAGCCCTGGGACACCACGGGCCGCGTGCGGCTCATCCTCCACCGCCCAAACCCTCACCTGACACCAGCCTCCAGGCCCCGGCTAAAGTCCACCACCGTGCCAGTGTCCAGGGTGGCCTTCTGGTCCGAGAGAGAGTCCACCCACCTGGCTGCATCTGGGGCTGGAGGGAGTCGGACGGTGGGCGGGGACGCGGGGGCGGGGACGCGGGGCACCCACCAGGGGGAGGTGTCCTGGCCCCGCCTCATCCCCGCCCGGAAGTTGTCCTTGTTGCTGAGGCGTCCTCCTCACACAGCGCTGCATCATCACTTGGGGCACGGATCTTGGTTGGTACAGGTGATAAAACTCCCCCCCCCACCCCTTTAAACACTGGCGTCCTTACCGCCTAACACAAACAGCAGGCACTGGGGGCGCGTTCATCTGGCGAGTCGCCTAGAACCCAGGTCTAGTCCTGCCTGGCTTACTCACTAAGTTAGTGACCTTGGGCACTAGCTCTGCGACTCAAGTAAAACCTCAACCCAGCTCTTAAAAGGGTTTCAGGAAACCCCACTGGCGCTTTCCGTCTAAAGACCCACTTTGCTCCCGGGAGTTCATTTAGAATGGCTCTCCTTACTTAAAGACTAGTGGTACAAGAAGCTTGGGCTGAGGAATGCAACCAGCAACCTTACCCAACTACCAGCAAATGTTAACCAGTTGCCAAAGAAGCTCTCCATTCTCCTCCCTGCCGATTTCCTGCGCTTGCCATCCCCTGCAGGGCCTCAGCAGGCCTGCTTTGTTTGAAGGATTACAAACTCATTTTTGCTTACCCTTGCCAGGCCAGGTGAGTTTTGCTGAAGCACAACTCTGATCCTTCTCTGTCCTCTGACTGAAACAATGACGTGTATGCCCCAATGTGCATTGTCCAATACTTTCATTTCTAGTTCCAATCCTCTCCTCAGCCATTAAACAAACTTCTGCAAACTGATATGAATTGCTAATACCAGTCCCTCTGCCTGGAATGCCCCCCACCCACCACCACTTTTCAAGAGCTACCTTTTCCAAGAAGTCTTTCAGAAACCATTTTTGCTTTCTGGGTTTATCCTCTCATTCATTCCCATGTAGTCAGTTCTATTCTGCCATATAACAGAATATTGAAAGTGCCACTGTGCATATGCTCAAATTTCTGAGTTTCCTACAGACCTGGCATGTCTTTTTAAAAATCTCTCCACCTCCAAGCACCCAGAACAGCCAATTTTGAATAAATGGACTTGAGCAAAATCCAAGTTTCAATCTTGTGCCCTCTGGCACTGACTTTTAGCAACTAAATGATGAAAATTTGTTAAAACAGGATCAACTTTAAAAGAGTTCAAAGATAAGAGGTTTTTTTTAAAGCCTTACACCGTTAATTTCACAGGCAAAGAAAGCCATTACATGTACATGTCATACCTATTTCAGGGACATTTTCTATTAGGAAGCTGTTGACAGCTTAACTACTGCAGCTCTGCTTTATGCAAATGCAAGTGGTGCTTTTCTCCCAGAGCATTTCACAAACCTGTGATCTCAGTGGAATCTGCCTGGCTGTGCCGACAGGGGCACATACTACCCACAGCCTTAAGAGATGACTGGAGAAAGGGGACACTGAAAAGTCAAGTCACTCAGCACACAAGAGCATGCACGCGGCGGTTAAAACCATGTAAAAATTTTACAGATGTGAGCACCAAAAGGATGTGTA